TCCTTGTGGTCCTATATACAGCTGCAACTCGTGTAGGATCTGTAGTCTGCAAGATGAAAAAATCAAACCAACAGCCAGCCAGTTCCAGTGCCACTCGCCTCTCCACAACCAATCTTGGTTCCAGTGAGACCAAGGTGATATCGCAGGAACTCTGCCAGATTCATCGTCACTGGAAACTGCCCGCTCAACACCACCTGCAGTTTGGTCAAAATATCGTAGAAATATCTGAAACCATCAAACAAGGAGGCACGGCAAAGGTTCCGTAATTAGCCCACCGGCAAAGCAAATGACAACTCCACATCCAAAAACAGAACCGTGCAAAAACTTGAAATCCATCTTCCAAACATTTCTCGCGGCATGACGGCCTTCTCCTTCCCATTCACCCAGAAACGAAGAGAGGCCTGCTTTTGATCATGTTGAAAGAGAAAGCACATGACACTCCAGCATCTCAATGTATTTTGATCTCTCCCACTCTCTCTCTCTCTCTCTCTCTTCCCAAAATTGTCTTCCTTGTTCTTCCTACATGATATGTCGCTTGCATTCCTCTCTATGCTGCATCTTGCTCTGGCCGGCTCTGGTGCCGGTGTAAAAAGAAACCACCCAATATGCAAATACAATCTAATAGCGATGGCCTCAAACCTAATAGCAATATGCAAATACAACTGATTTCCACCGTTACTATGCCTCGTTGCCAAATCTTTCCTTTAAAGACGGTGGCAGCTCTGGGAACAGCCGAGTTTGATCGACAAGTGCCCAGTCGTCTTGAGACCTCGCCAAGTTTTCTGCCAACCGCCGATCAATCGAAACTTTAAAGGCGCATGTAAGATCATGTAACCAACCTGAATGGCCTCCACCCTAGTAGCGATGGCCTCTAACCTAATAGCGGTGGCCTCCAACCTACTAGCGATGGCCTCCTCCCTAGTAGCGATGGCCTCCACCCTAATAGCGACGCATGTAACTGCATGTCGAACACTTCCAGGCACTACGATTCTTTTGCACTCTTGCCCCGCACCTCTGGGTGACAATCTCCGGGAGGTGGATGCTTGCGTTGCTCGTCGCTTCGGCCTGGGCCCCGTGGGCCTTGCCAAAGTATATCCTGCAACTCAGCCATTGGCTAACCAACCTAATAGCCCAATAGCTTCTTCTTCGTAGTAGTAAGGCCAGGAGCTACTAGAAACGTCCTTGCTCCTAGTAGCGATGCCCTTTGCTCCCAATAGCCTCTTGTTCCTTGTAGTATATAATGGCCTCCAACCTACTAGCGATGGCCTCCAACTACTTAAGGCTAACCAGTCTTTCAAAGGCCTAAAGTTCTGATGGACAACAGAAAAGTTTAAGATTGTCAAAAAAGCGAAACATACAAACATATTCATAGCGACGATGGGGTGAGGCCTGAAGGGGGCGCGTTTGTTGCAATCTTCGGAAAAGAAAATTGGCACAGCCGGCCAGGCTCAGCAAAAACACAGTTTTCAAAATCCAGCAAGCACTCACCACTACAGTAGTTTTTTCATGTTTTTTCTCGTGCTCGCTCTAGAGAACAGCGCAGGCTTTGCATGGCTTTGCTGCGTGGCAAATGAGGTGTGCCCGAAACTCCTTCATCTGGGGGCGCCCTTGGAGGAAGGCATCGGGCGTGGATGTTCTTTGGCACTGGCGGAGGCACACGCAAGCCTTAGGCCTTCACGCTTCTCTGGATCTGCTTCCAAAGCCTTTTGGTGACTTGAAGGGATGCCAGCTACACTTTGCTCCTGTCAGCTTGTCACAGTCTTTTGCCCAAGTCTTCAGGATAGAGCTGAAGAAGTAAGGTTGCTTCTGCCGCTGGCAGCCTCACCACCAGCAATCCGTACTGACCCGCGACACCAGTAGCCATGTGACGCAAGCAGGGATCAATCCATTGGCTTTCTTTGGTGAGCAGCCAAAGCTCGAAGCCAAACTCATCACTCCAGTGAATCGACATCGTCAGACAAAGGATCAGCACGATGTATTTTCACCATGCGTGACTGCCGGACTGGCAGGCAAAGTCACAGGCTAAGGTGCAGTATTTAGGAAAGGCGTGTCCAGGTCCATCACATTCTTGGCAGGGTCGTCAGAGACTTTGCATCGGAAGAATTCTGATCCTTCGATATTCTGGGAGTTTCATTCCTTAAGCATGTTTCCTTGTGAAGTGTCACCTGGACCCCTTATCACCCTTCACCCCCCTTACAGATCAAAGAAAGGAAAGAAACAAGAAAGCAGAAATACAGAAGATACGGAAGCCTTCTTTTGTCTCAAAGCTCAAGGCCTTTGGCGTTAGCAAACGAAGAGGGCAGGGAATTGACATCCTTCTCGTCTTCTTCGTCTTCTCGTCTTTCTCCTCTACGTCTGCCATTACGCATGACTCTTCATCGTCTCAGTCCTTCTCGTGTGATTCCCAGGAATGATTCCGAGATCTGGATGTGGCTCGGCACCTCGGGCGCTTCACAAGCCGTAAGAGCTCCCCTCTCTCAAATTCAGATTGCCGCTTGCCAGCTTGCCGAGCCACGCCGCTCCTCGATCTCGGCATCCCTCCTGAACGAACTTACTAACTGTCTTATATGTTGCGCGAGTTGACGCGCACGGCACGTGTTGCACCTGTCATGTAATCCTAATTGCTCTGCTGGTCAAGCTGGAGAGAACTTCGAGAACCCATTGAAAAGAATTGCAAAACACATCGTTGAGAACCCAGCCTAATGGCAAGCACGACGTCGAGATCTCTGGAGAACTCTCCCGCTGTAAAAACGAAGCGCTGGACCTCAAAAAAACTCGCTTGGCTGTCTAAACCACAGAGCCCCTGAAAGCAAGAATTCTCCGTGACCCCAGGAAACCACAACACGAACCACTCCAGAAAAACAACTTTGACATAACCACTTCATTTTTCATAAAGAAATCGAAAATGCGTTCTGATGCAAACATCTGAATGGTCATGGATCTTTGAGCTTTGAACCTGTCATTTTTCAATGGCTGCCAAGGGTCATCCAAGAGCCCGACAGAGGTCATGTTTTGAGACTATAGAATAGGTTTCATATGGTTTCAGGTTCCCAGTGTCTGCGTAGGACATTCAAATTGACCAAGGACATTCAGAAACAATTGCTAGGTCAATAGTCCAAAGGCGCGACATACACATGTGAGCCCGACATCACATGTGCCATTCAGGTCTGCCCATACATGTGTGTGATCATAAGTCTGCATTCTGGAAGGCTTTTGTTAGAGAGAAAAACAACCAACCAATGCCCATGGAAAACCTGCTCCGGCAACCACGCAAGACTCCGAAAAAAAAAACATTCAAAACCTGACCAATAGGAGGTTTGTGTTAGACTTGGAAGATGGAACATTCCCGAGGCTCAACAAAGGTGTGCACCTTGAACTCATCTGTCTGCCTTTTCTTGGTGTCAGTGTTCATTGTGTTCATTGATACATTGACCGGTTTAAAAGAGTCAAGTCTCAGCCGAGGCGCCGCGTTGGCCTCGAAGCTGGGTGCATCAACATGCAAGCCGAGCTCAAAGCAGCACCTCGCCGGCACCTTGGGGAGTTCATAGGTTCCCGATTCCCATCGCCGACCGAAAGGTTCTGTCACCAACTTCACATCAGGTGACTCGAAAAGAGCTAATCAAGTAGTGGCCCGATGCGACCGGGTCACATCAGGGTACAGATTTCTACAGATTGCCAGAAAGTTTGAGTGACCTATATAGCCATTCCAGCTACAGTGTGGAAGCAGCAGCAACACACAGGCAGCAGCAGCAGCAACATAAAGGCCATAGACTTAGACATCTTGCAGCGGCACCAGTAAGGCTCCAAAAACGCACACGGCCAACATCTGGCAGCAACACCTTCCTGCGGCACCAGCTGAGAGTATATAATGAGAAAATGGGCATAGATGGGCAATGGAATCAAAGCTCAAAAGGGCAGAACCTAAGAGATGCAGTTATTTGGTATGGCATGTTACGGCTATATCAATCCCAATGAGGCGGAAGTGAACAGCTTGCGGGGACAAACCTCTGAGAGTTTAAAGTCAGAAAAGGTCTAAGTGAATGCTTGACTTGCCAAATGTGGAGGAAGCCCTTAACCACACAAGATGGATGCATTCTCCAACCAAACAGGACAGTAAACCTTCTAATCCAACATCTCACTGTTGCGAAGTGTCACACTGTTCTCAAAGCGTCCAAAGAGTGCGATCTGAGTTTCCAGCTGCATCTGGGATCACTGCAACTGCCTGAAGTACGCCACTCCAAAGTGACAAACACTTTTAAATGAGGCATGTTACATGCAAGAATCCCGAAGCTAGGGCCTGAAAGCCAAACATGAGAATGAACGTGCGAAACAGTATCTGTTTGGGCATTGGTTCCGCAGGACACAAGGTGGGAATGCGATCACATCTGCCTCATCCTTTTTTGAAATCCCTTATTCTCAACCTGTATTCTCTTCGCTCACCTCGCCTGGCCATTCCTCAGCTGCAGCTGGGCACCGGGTGCCAGATCTTCGGAGAACCGCAACTGCCACCGGAGCACCAAGGCTTCTCCAGGACGACACCTGAGAAGCAAAGCAGAATCGAGTTGCGGCTCCTTCGTCCGTATCTTCCAGCTGTACGGGGTAGTCAGCAACAAAGAGCAAGTCGAACACAAAGAACAAGCTTGTTGCAAGGAACAAGTCCAACTTTGGTGCCATGGTTCTTAGTGCTCTTTTCTCCAGTATAGGAAACATTGACCAGGGGGGTTGGCGGAGATTGACTCACAGTTTGTCTGTTCTGCGGCAATGTTCTGTCTTGAAGCAAAATTGGCTGGAAAAGAAACGGCTGCACGACAGGACTTCAGCAAGACTTCATCATTTGTGCTTCCCAAACACGGCAATGGATTGCTGGGTGCCGATATCACTTCCAGCGCCATGGCAAAAGCACAGCAAGTGTACTCCTTTTGAGACAGGTTACCGCTTCAGCTGTAAAACTTGATATGATCCTTTCCAACTAAATTCAGACCAAGCAAAGCTCAGTGATACAATGTTGAACATCCAAAGCTGGTTGCAGCTTGCGAAATGTTGCCACAAATGCTGCGAGATGGGGGAGTCTGCGGCATTGCAACCAGGCAAACCATCAAACCCAATCAACAAGCTAATCCGACTTGGCAAATAGACTGAATTGATTGAATGTGTTTGTTTGTGATTAAAGACATGTGACATGCTTGTCAAAACAGCAAGAAGAGTGTTTCCAAGTTCCAAGGCAGCTCTTGACTGTGCGCCGCCTGCTGCAACTTCTTCACATGGCCTTCAGCTTCTTGCACTGCCTCGGTTCTCAATCTCGCTCACGCAAGAGTCTGCTCGTGCGATGGTGCCTTGCATTGGTGCTCGAAAGCATTAACCAGGCTTCTTCCAACCAAAAAAAAAATCTCAAATATTGTGACAACCCCCCTCTTTGTGCATGTCACTGCTTTCTTGCCTGAAAGAATTCTCAATTACTCTAGGTTGGAGGCCGCTGCCATTAGGTTGGAGGCCACTGCTGTTGGGTTGGAGGCCATCGCTTTTAGGAGGCTTGGCATTCTGAAAGCTCTCAAAGGCACCTTCTCACGTTTCTCTGCCTCCTTCTTCGCCTGCTCCGCGGCCTCTGCAGATTGCTTCCGCAAAGCCTGCAGATCAGATCGAAGCATGAATGAAATAGGGCAAGAAGTGCTTCGGGGAAGCCTGAAGTGGAGACCTCTTTACTTTGGCCCTAAAGGCTGGTGGACGAATTCTGCTTGTTGCCTTTACTTTGCCTTCTTGTCCGCCTTGTTGGGAGGGTGGGCAGCAGACAAAAAAACAAAGAAAACACATGTTAATTACTAGTAGCGATGTAGCAATGCCCTTGCCCTCTCGCCTCGATTTCCTTCTTGTCCGCCATGACCTTCTTCCCAAACTCATGAGCTTCAGGATTGAGATCCGCCAGGAGATTCTGCACGGCAATGGCACCACAGAGGGTCGGTGTTGATGGGTTTCTTGTTTGCTTCTGTTCTACACTCTCCGGGCGCTGTTTGAATATGTGGGGTTGTGCAGTTCAAGAAGTCTGACTCCAAAAGTTTGCCCGTCTCAATCTTATCCTCAAACTCAACTTTTTAATGATCTACTTTTGAATCAGTCCAATGTCGTTGGCCCGCGTCACTTCAATGCCGGTCCAGTCGCCTTGGCACTAACTTCGACCAGGGCAGTATTGACCTTTGCATCCACCTTTGCACGGCCAAGTGCGGAGAAAGATGAGAAAGTTGATGAAAACAACCGTTGGAAGACAACTCGGTCTCAAAACCCTTAGTTTGAAAACAAATTGAAAACTTTAGTTTCCAGGACAGCACACATCACACCAGTCAGCACACCTCCACACGCATCGCTCGCGATGCAAACTCCAAGGTGTTCAAAGTCTCTCCCACCTGAACAGGTCTGCACCGCATTTCTTGGCGTCGCATTTCTATTTCGTGTGACGAGCCTTTCATTGACACAGGTGATATTCTCTAAGATCCATAGACCGATTCTAATTCTTGTTTCTAATAGCAAACATTGTTGCTAGTATGGCCAGGAGCCCCTAGTAGCATCCTTTGCTCCTAGTAGCGATGGATGCCCTTTGCTCCTAGTAGCTTCTTCTTCCTGGATCGGTCCACAAAGACCATCTGGGCTCCCCGCATGCTCGAAGGCCGAATTGACACAAACCAGTAGGCAGGTGCGACAATTTCCGCCAATGGATCCATCCAAAATCCTGGCAACAAGAGGGGGTCGAGGACGCTACTAGGGGCTCCTGGCCTTACTGGGAGCAAGGACGCTACTAGGAGCTTTTTCACGAGTTACAAAAATGACTAGTCAAAACGGCTATCACATCTTTGGGCTCCGGCTCCTGGTGAGCTTGCTATCTCGCAATGGCACATGCGATTTGCGAGCTGCCAAGGCGCTGACAACATTCCTAGGTACAATCCCAAGCAAAATCGACTACTTGACGCTACGACGCTACTTGTTCATGTCTGCATGCGAGAATGGAGGAACCATTTCTTAAATGTAAGACAGGGGGTGGAAAGAAGGAGTGTATATGTTTATATTGTAATATAGTACAATATAATGTAACATAAAATGAACATAACTTTATATAATATAGATTAATATTTTACTATATTCATTGTATTTTGCACTTGACATGACGCGAACCCAGCAGAGAATCTTTGACCATCCAAATTCCAGGGCATCTTTGTCATCCATGATACCTTTCTGCCAAGCATCCCGAAGGCCAACAAGCTGCGGTTAATGTTGGTTGCTTCCTGAAATCGCATGCCTTCAGAGCCCGACTTCTTCACCTCACATGAGCATTCAGTCCAATGAGCTTGAAGAATGCTCATGACACCAGTCCTGGTCGTTATGATCTGTTCCGACCAGTCCTGACACTCTGCTACACACTTCTGTTCTGTGCACAGGATACTGGAATACAGTGCGGTACTTGGAAGCGTAGGTGGACAAAAAGATACAAAAAGCAACCACAGACAATGACGGTTGAAGTCAAAGGGAAAATGCAAAAGGCCCGAAATGGTGTAGGGTCAGAAAAAGAGAGATTGAAAAAATGAGACACGACAAGCGTAAGCTACTAGGAACAAAGGGCATCGCTACTAGGAGCAAGAACGCTACTAGGAGCAAGAAGTTACTATGTGAGGCCGGAGGCGACGGTGTCGATTTGTTCAACCGTTTACCTCCCAAGTTCCACCAAGGCACACGTTCTGAGCCCGCCAAATCCACCACATTCAGCCTTGAAAAACGAACACTCCAAATGCTTAAGGCCAACTCAGAAGCCTTGATTTTCCAGATCAGCTTGTATAGTGATCTCACAAGAAAAACACAGAGTTTCGTTGATTTCTGGCCTGGCGATGGTGCACTCCACCTTCTGACCTGTCTTGGCAGCCTCGAAGACCCGCTCGCGCTTGGAGATCCGCAGCTGGAAGATGGCGTGACTCCGACTCGAGGCCTGAAACAAAGGGCAAAAGGCCGTTTAAGTACCAGGAGCTAGCAGCCCCGTTCGTAGCGTCCTTGCTCCCAGTAGCGATGCCAGGAGCCCCTAGTAGCGTCCTTGCTCCTAGTATATAATTTGACATACATCTTTCTGCTTTCCATGTCAAAGGCGGAATGGCCTTGAGGAGGTGTGACTATCAGAAAAGCTTTGGACATCACTCTTGCCAAATAGGACGATCGTTGAACACTTCAACACTGGTGTCAACAAAAGGCATCTCCGTGCACCTGGCCTTGTTCATTTTCGTCTCCGCATAGACCACATTGGCCCGAGCTCTTGTGAAGGCTTCCTGAAGGGCTGAGCTAGTCCCTCCGGGAATACTGCTAGTGCTGCGCTATCTGTATATCCATAGTGTGAACCCATTTCTCATAAAGATTGCTTCTGACCATCAAGAATAGTCAGGCAAAATTGACATTGCCAGTTTCCGTGGAAAGCGACAAAGAAGGAACCCTGTTTATCAAAGAAAATGATAAATCATCTGTAAGAAAGGTCTCTATATCAAAGTACAGCGAGGCAGCCAGGGTTGTCAACACTTTTAATGCCCAACCAAAAAATGAAGCGCCCAAGAGACACACTGAAAAACATATAGTAGAATATCATGAATATCTTATAATAGAATTATATGTTTTTGAGCCCTTTCGGCTTGCCAGAAACCTGGCTGAAGGCTGAAGGCTCCCTACATCTAAATGACAACGACTCCTGCAGCTACAACAGGATCCACTCACGCGATGAAGGATCTTCCAGAACCGATATTTCATCTGTAATCCCCGATATTTCAAGTATTTCAAGAACCTGTGCATCTTCGTATTCTGGCTATATCCAGCCCGGTATGAGACGTTTCTGAAATTGCAACCCCTCCAAGGCCCAAGGAATGCAACAACAAAGACTGCTCGTTCCCTGGCATCAAAGAGATCCAAATGCGTCTATGTGTATTCCAAACATCTTTCCATCACATCTCTACATTGAAAAGACCTGGTCACCCAGTTCATCAGAACGAATAACGGTGGTTTAGGTGTCAAGCCTAAATCGTTCCGAAAACATCGCGTCCTTGTTACTTGTAGCGATGCCCTTTGTTCCCAGTCAGGCCAGGAGCTCCGTTTGTAGCGTCCAAGTGGCGAGCATCTCATCGGGTTTCATACATCGAATCCAGTTCAAGCCCGTTACGATGCCACCATCACGGACGTTCAAGTTATTGCCTCCGGCTTCGTTGAGGTGGTGGTTTCTTTTTTGCTGCATTCTTCCCTTTTAAGTTACACTTTGCAGCTTTCGGATGATACTGTGAGAAATGAGCATCCAGTTCAACTAGCCCAAGCAAACCAATAAAATTCCAATATTTACTCCTCTACTTCTTGGCCAATCTTCAAAACATGCTAAAGCACATTTTTACACCGCCACGATTCCAGAACTCATTTTCAAGAATCACCCCCAACTGAAGATGGTGCCATCTTCACATTGCAAACCTATGCAGACTTGTTTAACGTATATTGTCTCTACATGCCAATGCATTCCAACACAAACCTCCCAGCACTGGCAGCATTTTTGCTGATCAGCATCGGCTTGACATCGACAATCGACAACGCTTCAAATCAATCCAATCCAAATTTCTGAGAGTCCAAGTAACATCCAAATCCAAAGTCAACGTGACCATGGATTGAAGGTAACTGAACAAGCGAAATGGCTCGCCTTGTCCATTTTGGTGGTCTGGATTCAAGAGGTCGTCCACTTGTTCGTTATAGACCTGTCCAGCTAGGAGTCACCAAGTTGTTTGGGTCTTTTATGGCTTTGTGTTGGAGACTGAGAGACAAAAGAAAGACCTGGAAGAGGAAGAGCTAGTAGCGTGGCACCTGTTACTACTAGCGTGGCACCTGTTACTATTAGCGTGGCACCTGTTTCCAGGAAACAAATCAAGGAAATACAACCCCCAAATGAACACAATTGGTGACCGTCTTGTTTGGAGCACTGAAGAAACGACAGAAAGGCACCTCAACATTCCTTGTGACACCGGTGATACAGATAAGTTCGAGAACCTTGGTATATACGTAGTAGGCCGACACAATCGCGATCGAATCCTTTCGGTCGCGGCACGGTCTGTTTTCCCAAAGTCCTTGAGCCAAATCAGGTTGGCGTCCAGTGACACAGTGCAAACGGCAAAGCCGATTACCGATGATGCAAGTCTTTACATGACAATTCCAGTCTTGGACAAGTGTTCCTAGACATCAACTATACATGACGTGTCATCTATACATGAAGTGTGCAACCTCACTCAAAGCTCAGTTCTTCTTGGGGACGTTTCTAGCTGAGGGATTTCTTCTCCCCCCTCTGACTCCTGAGCTGCTCGACGGCTTGGGATCAGTTCTGAATCCCGGGCTATCCAGCTGGTTCGGAAAGGTTCTGTGGCACACTGTACGGAGGTATTCTCTTCGGCTTGTGTTTCTGCCGTTTCTTGTACCCTGGCTGGGTAGGGCCTGTCGTGCCCTGAGGTCCTGTCGCTACGTCTGTCGCTGGTGTATCTGGCTGCAATGCCATCTGTTTGTCCAGCTTCAGGCCAGTGCCTGAGGTGTGTTTGATGGTGTATCCATCGAGGTGCACTCCAAGGTTTTGGAGGGTTTTGGGCCATAGTGCGGGCTCGACTGCCTTGGTGAAAGCATCGGCTTTCTGGTCGCTTGTTCCAACAAGGCTCAGTTCTACGTCATCGCGATCCAACTGCTCCTTCACCGAAGCCAAACTCACGCGATGTACGCGTTTGAGATGCCTCAACTTCTTGGAGTATCCAGCAGTCACGACCTTCGCGCATGCAGTGTTGTCTTCGCGAAGCCTTAACAACACAGGACGCCCAAGCATTGCGGAATACAACTCGACCAATGGCAAACCCTCCTCAAAGAGCACATACGACAATGCGACAGTCTCTGCCTCCGTCGTGCTTCGACAAGTAGCCGTCTGTTTCTTCGACAGCCATGCCAAAGGAAACGATGTCCGCGGGCCAGACAACTGTAGCCATCCACCAGTGGTACTGTGGGTGTGTTCATCATCTCCGCAGTAGTCTGCGTCTGCGAAAAGTTCAACAAACACATGCTCCGGCGCATCACGCACGTGTCCAAGCAACATAGCGTTCTTGGTGCACTCGAGGTAGCACATGGCACGGTATAGGTACGCATCACAAGCTTGCGTCCAGGACTGTATCATGGTTGCCAACCAAGTCACAACTCTCAGCAGGTCGGGACGAGCAAGGCGTGCCAACCACATCAGTCTCATTAGAATGCTGCTGGCTGAAGATGCCAGAGTACCACGCTCTTCTGCTCCAACGAACCCCTTGCTGAGGAATGGCGATGCGACGACTTTCATCTTTGGGCTGTTCGCAACCCTCAAGTACTCTTGAACAGTAGCCTCAGCGTAAGCACGCATGTCAAAGCCAAAGAACTCTGTGTTGTCAACCTCGACAGTGGAGTGGTGTCGACCAAGAAAGCGACCCAACGGTCCAATGTCATCAATCAACACCTTTTCACCCAACGCCTCCCAGAAAGGCTCGTGCCACTGACTTGGTCCTGAGAGAATCAAGTCGTCCACGTAGACAACCAATGCCAATCCTCCGAAGGTGGGGATGGTGAAGGTGGATGCAAACTCTTCAACCTTGACTGCTCCTAAGAGACACAACTGTTCTTCAAGAAACTGTTGCCAATGGGCCCCAGCTTCTGGGTGTCCATATAGCGATTTGCGCAATCTAATGATTGGTCTTTTGAAGCGGGGGTAGCCGCTTGGGGTGAACCAAGACTCAGGCCACAACTCTCTTGGGAGACGGATGTATGTGGCAGCCAAACTTTTCAACTCCGATTGGAGATAAGCCTTGACAGCGTCTGCCGACGACAATTAACTTGTGTCCCTCAAAAAGACCAAAAGAGATCACGCTATTGGCTGCAACTATCGACGCAGGAGACGCAGCTAACGTCTGGTAAAGTGCTAGCTTTCCTTCAGCCGTCTTTGCAGAATCACCACGATAGCACACACGACCTTTCAGAGCACGAAGCTCTGGAGCCAACTCAACGTGCTTTTCGCTGCAAATAGCAAGCAAGTCTGCAATGTGAATCGTCTCTCCACTCTGCAATGCAGCCTCCTTCACGCGGAACTCTTCATCAACCGACTCAAGCTCCCATGTTCCCATGGAACCAACACCATCGAACTCCTTACGGATCGCCTGCAGTGCATCAGGTCGGGACAACACTTCGTTCCGGGTGAGCTGTCTCGTCACCAGGGCATACACCCCAGCCGCAACGTCTTCCGGTGGGACATACCCCTCGGGAAGCTCATCAGGAGAGTACTCGGGACCTTCAGTGGTCTCCGGCTCAACCCAATGTTCCTTTTCTACTGCTCCTGTGGAAGAGGAAGAAGAAGTTTTCTCTGAACTCTTAGGCATTGGAAGCGGTCCAGGTGTCTTCGGTGCTCCGACATCTGGCGCCGGTGTAGGCGGCGCTGCAGCTTCTCTAGGGAAGATGGCATCAAATCGCTCGCGACATGCCTTGTTGTGGCGGTAGTGGCCACCATCACATCCAGGGCAACCCTTCGTAAAACCATGCTCCAACAAACGTGAAAAAGTAATGTATGCATGACGTGGGGGGTGCAACTGGGGTATCTTCCGGAAAAGCATCAATGTCAATGTCATATGGGAGCACGCCCGACTCAAGAGATCTGTCATAGATCTTCTTCTTCACCTCAACATCAGGGTCAGACATTTCCTTCAACGCCTTCATTGCCGCGTTGGATAAGGGAAATTCAATGTGCTCAACAGGAGGGAAAAACACCTCCTTCTCACGCAAGTCCTTGGGACTCCAATGCAAATGTGCTCTTGCGCGGACAGCTTCATAGTCAACAACTTGTACGACATTGCGGTATCGCAAGCCTGAGTCAACACGCCATCCAGCAAACAAGCCTGGTCTTGTAGTTGGAGCGGCCATTCCATCGCTCTTGGCCCTGTAGAAAACAAGTGCACCAAGAGGGTACTTCACTCCAAGAAAGGGCTCACCTGTGCAAACCTCCCAACGGGTCTTGCCAGTCTTGAGAGGCGACCAAAAGGCACGAGCTTTTGCAGCGTAAACAACGGAGATCGGCCACATCTTCTTACTGAAGCCGGCCTGGAGATGTGCTGGTCTGCACAACTCTTTCAAGGTCCTCACCTCACGTTCGACGTGGGCCGCGTGAGGCCAATCCCTGGGGATGCTCGGGGATATTGTCCAGCACAGCCTGGACGCCGCTCCGGTCAACTCACCGGCTGCATCTGATTTAAAAATGACACCGGTATCACCGTTCAACCTATGGCCACCGAAGTGTTTCAATGAGTTACGTAACAGGATTCTTCTGACCTGTCTCTGGCCGGATAGGCCATGCTCAGACCGGAGAAGAGATCAACGATCACCAGAGCCACCTTCTCCCCAGCGTTGCTCACGCTTTCCTCCGACGGAAACATGTGGTCGGCTTCGAGCACACGGCCAAAAGCGGCCGAGCGCTCGTACGCTTCATCACTAGGCTCAGGTCGAACTCCGTGGGCATATCTTTTCAACATTCGACCACGCGCGCAATGCTCACAAAAAGGATTCTTCTTTGCGTGGGTCGTGATGTGGTCTAGGCTCTTTGCCTCACGTTTCAACCTATCATCTCTCGACTCTGCAAACTCAGCTTCGTCATCCGCGGGAGCAAGGTCATCTTCAAGCTCGGCGGGAGTTGCAAAGGTATCAACGGTTTCAATGACCAACGGTCCACGGTAGACCTGTTCCTTTGGCTCCTTCTCGACATGCTCCTGGGCAACCACGCAAACAGCTGCCTCACAAACGGGCATGGCGGGCACCTCCTTGAAAACAAGGTCAGGAAACAAGGAAGAGAAGACAATCTCACACATGATCTCTGGGTATCTTGCAGTCGTGCTCGTGTTGGAACCTGTGATGGGTGCATGTTTGAAATCAGTACCATGCTTGCAGCGACACTCGTTCAAGTTCTTCGCGAGGTTCTCGTTAGTTGTTGCCACTCGCCACTTCTTGAGGAACGGTGTGCCCTGCCGATCAACAAGTCCAACTGCACAACCATCAAAATTCACCACTGTCATGCCAATGTCTCGAATGAGCTGGCACAATGCAGCCTGCTTCCAACCCAATGCATGTCTGGGCCATTCAAAATGAACATCTCCACCATGCTCAACAACACATTTGGCAAGCTCGCAAAAGCGATCAAGCAGCTTCAACGACAAGTCTCTCGACTTGGCCAACTTCTTTCTGAACTCTGCCCCATAGCGGTGTGCATTGAGGTATTGCCATTGGCTCCATGGTCCACAAGGAAGGCTAGCCCACAAATCAATACTTGGATGTTCACGAATGAAGTTCTTCAGGTGTGACGTGGTACTCTCATATTCTAAATTGTTCACCTCCTTGGTGCAACGTGTGACCTTGACGTTCAACCTCTCACCAACAACACCTAGGTTCGAGTCCGGCTCGGTGCACAACTCAATGAGCATGCCACGGCCCTTGAGGCCAGTCTGCCTCGAACGCTGCTTCACAGTGCTCGCAGTCAAACAGGTTGGGTCAGTCTGCATTTGTGGTTGTTCAAAACTCTCGAGCTCCTTCATCACCTCGACGGCCAGTGCCTCAAAGCGTTTTGCTATCTTGCCTTTATTGGCCTGGGCCTGCGCGGTGTAGAACTCAACCATGTCACGCATCATCACAACCATAGACAACTCACCACGCGGAAGCTTCTTTTGCC